CCAGCTCCCGTTGGCGATCGATCCTCCTCTCCCTCATGGGCTCTTTCCTCTTTGCATCATCATGTTCTTCCCACTCCTGAGCCTGATGGATTTCTCTCTTACTTTCTGGATATTCATGCTCATGTTCCTGGTGCTTCCCGTGTTCATAGAGAACTCTTTCTCGCTCACAGGTCTCATAGTAACTGAGGTCAAGTTCTAGCGGTTCCTGTATGTATGACTGATGTGGGTGTCTTGAATCCAGGCATTCACGTAGCTGGTGGCTGCTCTCTTCAAGTGCTTTTTTGTCCTGGTCATGGCAGTGGTAGCGGCTTCTCTCTTCTGTGAGTAATTCAGGCTTACGTGGCTGATTTTGACTTCCTCTGTCTGCTTCTTGTGGCCTCTGGTTTTTTTGATCATGTGCTGGTAGTGCTTGCTCATATCGCTGATGGCTACTCCACTGGTTTTTCCGTGGTTGAGTTTCATGGGTCTGGCTGCAACTTCTCACATCTGCCAGTTGTTCTGGCTGAGGCCTCTCTTGATTTTGCCTCTCATCTTCCTGCAATCCAGGCTCATGTGACTGCAAGCTGCCGTGCTTGCGGCGTTGTATGTTTCCTTGTCTGTCTGGCTCTGGTGGCTGATGTCTTCTTTGGCTGTTCTGTTGGTCACATGATGCTTGCCTTCGTTCTTCATATAGCTGAGGGATTGGCTCTCCCAGCTTGCTGCTTCGTTTTGAATCGTTTCTGCTTTGTGTGTTACGTTGCTGGTGTTGGCTCCCTGTTTCCTCTAGTGTTTCAAGCTCATTGACCCTGGTGTCTCGTTGCAGATCAGGTTCACAGGGAAGATAATGATTCCTCTCACAAGTTTGGTGTTCCTCCTCTTGGAGCTGCTGACGGCTCCCTCTGTTCTTAATTTCAGGCTCTCGGAGTGACTTGCCACTGGTTGTCAGCTTTGTTCGTTGCAGAAGGCACGGTCCCTTCGGGAGGTACCAGTAGCAGGCCTTAGCCACTCTGAACACCAAAAGCAGGAACTCATTAAAATCTATTTCCCCATCACCATCCCACTCCAGAAACTGCAGAATCTTGTCAATCGTCTGAGGGTCATGCGGCTTCTGCAGAGAAAACACACACAGGGAAACAAAAAAGGGATTTTAGCCTTCCTGCTTCTTGTCAGAGAAATGCAAAGACAGGGACAACTGCAAACTTTTCTCCTTCCATCTCCTGCACCTTCACTTTTATAGCTCAGCAACAACTCCATGTCTTTGTTCTCCCTTTTCCTGCTTGTTCCCTGGCTGTAGCTAACCAGCTCTCTTCTCTTTGGGCTAAGCTGTATCCCTCTACTGGATGCATTTCCTTCTTGCCTTTGAAAGAAACCCATACCTCTCCACGGTTCATTCTCCAGCTTTTGCCCATTTGCTCACGACAAAACGGGTTGGAGGAGCTGTTGAAGCAGTTGGTGCAAAGGAACACAACTGCTGCTCCTCTTTGGTGAGAGCCTCCCCATCCCACTGTCCTAAGTATCATCCCCTCTCCAGAAGGAGACTTTGCAGTCCCTGCACTCCAGTCTTGGCCTCAAGCCCTCTCCCTCGCAGCAGCACTCACATCTATGACATCTGCAAACTCCCTCTGGATGAACTCTTTCATCTTCCTTCGGCTGAGGTTGGAGCAGTCTCCATCTTCCTTTGCATGTTTGTGAAAGACGGTGACGATGGTGGAAATGCTGTCTAAGAAGCGAGACATCTTCCTGCAGATTCAAGCAAGCCTGCAAGAAAAGGAGCAGACCTAAGGACAGGAGATTTGCTTGCCTCAGAGCGCGAATAAAGGAGGGACAATTGCTGGGGTCAGGCTGCGTGTGTTAATGGGACACTGGGTGCCGTGTGTCTGCTCTTGTGCCATGGTGAGCTGTGTTTCACCAGAGCACTGGGAAGAATTCAAATGCTTAGGGGTTTTAGTGGGATGGGGAGTGTCCTCCAACTGGTCTCCTGACGTATTTGAATGACGTCTGCTAGGGGATGGCAGGATGCCTACATTTATGGATTGCAGGGAGGGGACTGGGGATGGTGACTCAAGAGATGCCCCAAGAACCCATCCCCATGGGGCTATACCAGGTACTTATGTTTCCAGGACCCACGCTGCTGTCTCTGCCTGGCACTGAGAGGCGCTGGCTTCTCTGAAGCAGGTTAGAGGGTGTCTAATGCAGCACTGGCACGGCCTGAGACAAGATCTAGCTGGGTCAGAGACAGGTAGAGTGCTTACAGGGAGTTAAAACAAGCCCTGCAGCTGGTGCTCCTGTGGCCCGTAGTAATGCAAAGCAATCAATAAAGCTTTCATGAGTTCATTGGCAAATAGAGAGGACAGAGAGGAACTGTCAGATCACCTAGTCAGAGCTACTTATTTAATTTTACTGAGATCTGCTTGGCAGAAAGCAGTGCTCCTGTTGGAGCTTTGTGTCTGGAAACCTCAAAAGCCACCTCCTTCCTCCCTCCTCCCAGGATCCCCAAGCCTGTTATCAGGTCCATCAGTGCTGAGATCTCAGCTTTCAGCTGGGGAAGCTGTGCCATGTCTGCGTTGCCGCCTCTACAACGTGCACGTATGTATGAACACACGTGCACACCTCTGCATACGAAATCCTGGCTTTTGGTATTTCTGTAGAAAACAGAAAATTTCTCCAATCTGTTCATTCTGGCTGGGAGCAGACTCCAGACCAAAGTAAGGCACAAACCCCTGCTCCCACTCTTGTTTTCCCTGTGAGAGAAGCTGCCTCTACACATGGGCACACGACAACAGCATGCAGGTGTCCGAATAACACAAAACAACACTTCATTGGATATAAACGCAAAAGACTCTCCGAAAATACTGCGGCAGAAATGACACTGCCATCCAACATGAATCCTATAGAAATAACACATCCTTGCCCAGCAAAGGGCACATTTCAGAAGGAGTGACTTACCCAAATCGCCAACGGGATCGAGTGGGATTCCTGTGAAGCCGTGCAGAGTGATCAGAGGACCCGAGTGCTTTTATAGGGTCCTTGACGGAGCTACAGAAAGGAGACACCCTTTGTGGACGTTGTCCTGATTCATCTTTGGCCAAGCCCAGCTGCACCTTCACGTCCTCAAACGGGTTATTTAACTTATCATCCCCTTACCTATCATTTTAACCCAGAAATAGCAGTTGCCATGTGGCAATTCAGGCACTGGCTGGTTCCACCTAATCCAGACTGTAAAGTTATTTTACAGGCTGATTGTATTTCAGATTTTAAAAAATCTAGAGTAGCTATAAAGCATATCTATGCGTTAAGGGGAGGGTGTATTTTTAAATAAATGTGCATCTGTATAGGTAGGAATTTATATAATATACACACGCACACGTAAAAATAGTACCAGAATGAAATTTTGAGGATGGGGACAGAAGTGCTGATGGTGGCAGAGCTCACTATGAGCAGATCAGGGACAGCTGAGATCTGTATGGCCCATGATCTTGGTACCGCAATATCAGAGATTATTTTTGTTTGCTTTATGTGCAGTTTCTTCATCACCTTGGGCCAGAGGTCAATGGGGTTTGGGTCTGGCTTTTGCTCACAGAAGGACAGAAGAAGACCTAAGTGCTATGAAAATGGTGAAATGCCAGTGCACAGCAGTGAGATCCCCAAATCCTCCAGATCGTGGCTGTGTGGCGTCCTTGTAGAATGTGCTGCAAAATGTGTTTTATTTTTGGTAACTTCTTATTAAGGAGCCTTTTGGTTATATTATCTAGGTTTTTGTTGGGAAAAAACCCAACCACAAACAGAACACTTTTAAATGGTAAAGTTTGCAAAATGAATTTTTGTACAAGAAAATGTCTATTCAATAAGCAATGACTTTTCATTGAGAAAAATCACGATAAAACATTTTTCATATTAACTGTCTTCCATGAATGACTTTCATTTCAACTTTGCCTGATTTTTAATTAAAAATAAAAGCGGAAACCTCTCTGCTGAGAGGTCGATTCATGTTGAATCTTCATCTGGTTGCCCGAGGCAGCTTTTGTTGTAATTACCCCTACAATCTTCTTTTTTTTAATCTTTTAACAGTAAATTAATTAGAGACCAACTGATTCCTTTATTCACCCCGAACTCTCCCAGTACACAGAGCAAATAAGGAAGATACCAGCCGTGCCATCTGGGCCCGTGCTTTTGGTTTTGGAGGTAGCATGCTGCCTTGACAAGCATGACGGAGACATTGCGGAGAGCCTTCAGAGCATGAACTTGTCACGCAGCCTTGGGTGAGTGGCTCATCTGGCCCATCTGTAAGGTAAGATCATACTGGGTGTAGGAGCCTAATTAATTAGTGCTGGTAACACCTTGGGGATACTCATACAAGTGCGTACGAAGGATTGTTACTAACCATACTTCATTTTTGAGCTTTTTTTCAAGATTAAATTATACTTGTGCAAATTATACCCCACCTGTGGGATAATAATACCCTTGGGAAACGGTAATTTTATGGTAGATTGGAGTTATTATTAAAATTAGAGTATTGCAGTGCGGCTTGGTGTCCTGTAACAGTTTGTAATCCCCCCCGCAGGGGCCGGGGCAGGGTGGGATGGTCGGGTGCCACATGAGCCACCGGGCAGAGTTTGGGTATCGATGCAGGAAAAGGTTTCGGCCATACGCACGCTGGCATGCTCGCCTGCTTTCCCGTGCTTTGCTGCCATTCCCAGGACAAAGCAATGAGTTTCAAAGCACGTTCTTGGCAGCGCTGAAACCCCTTTTTCTCCAAGGGCTTTGTTTTCCCCAAAGATGCTTTCACAAGATGGGACTTGGGTAGGTTTTTAAAAAGCTATTGCCCAAGAGGGTGGGCTGCGTCCTCTTGCTTCTTACCCAATTCTGTGCTCATCCCTGTCGCCGTTTATATAGGGTGAACAAACTTCTATTGCATTTAATCTTAGAGGAACTGGGCTCCTTGTGTGGTGTATAAAAGACCTTTTCTCTTCCAACACCTCCCAGGCTTGCAGGACTCTTAGGTATTTGTGTCAGCGGGATAAGTTTCATGTTCTCCTTAAAATGAACGAAAAAACGCTCTTGACTTCAAATAGGCCACTCCTGATGGCAAAAGTAGTGTTATTCAGAATAGAGCATATAATTAACACGTCCCTAACAGGGCTTGGTGCCTGCCTGAACTGGGAGGTCAGTTTTTTATTGATGCTGCAAAAGGTGGCAGCTGATGGACAGACAGACTACAGGGGGATGGTTGGGTCTGGTGATTTTAGGCCCTAAGCCAGAGCCAATAAGAAGCAAAGAGGTATTGGACAAACCTCTAACTGGGACCTATTTTACAAGAAAAATGGAGGTCTCTGGAAAATGAAATGTTTTGAGGAATGTCTCAGATGGAACGGGGTTTTGACAGATAGGTGATGAAATTTAAGTCTTGGCTCTCCCATTGCGTGTCCACAGCTGTCATGAGAACTTATTTTTGCTAATATGTTTTATCAGTAGTAGAGCAGAGTGGTGTACTTTGTGTCTAATACATTTAATTCTGACATTAGCGCTTCTAAACCAAATAATTTTTTGCCATGTACATTCTGGGGATAGTTTTGAAATGCTGGTTTTTCTGATTCAGCACTTAGCAAATTGTGAAATTCTGGGGTGTCCCAGAGGAATGACGTTTTATTTTCCAGTGAGGTCTCTGCGTGCTGCTTGTCACCGGCCACAGAGCAGGAGGTGCGGGTGCATTTATCATGTGCTGATTTTGCTGATAGGTCTCAAGTGAAAGATAGCATGGTGAAAAACAGGCTGAGCATCACCCTCCCTGCGGGATGCCAAGTCCTGGGCCTGCCTGGTGGTCCAGCACGTCTGAACCCCCTAATAAACCCCACTGACTTCACCGGACTGCTCATGCCCTCAGAGTTATCCACATTCCTATGTGCATGTCTGGACAAGTGCCCGAGGACCTGGTACCCTGAACTGAATCTGAGATTGGCTCCGTTTGTGCACGCTTTGCATGTCAGCTTTTTATCTTGGGCCTCCCAGTTGTTGCTGGGACTGGATGTACCCGAATCATCATTTTTCCTGTGTTTAATATGTCTCCACGCCTTCCTTTGGAGACTTCCATAGCTGATAGAGATTTTTGATCTTCATAGCATGCTCCACATTCCCCTTGCTTCTAAGAGTATTAATATGTGAGGTTAAATAGGACAAATCCCTCCCATTCAGTGTTAAGCAGCTGTTTATTCTTTTCACAGCAGACATGAAAAACGCTCGGAGCAGATGGATGCTGTGAGGAATCTGTTCAGGTCAGCCACGCTGTTGTGTTAATCCAGACTTCTAACCCCTCTGAAGACATCTCTCACAGGGATGTCACATCCCTGCCTGCGGGGAGCAATCAATTCACCTCGGCTAAATTGCAAAGGCAGCTGAGCAGCAGCTCCTTTAGGCTATCCACCCCCAAGACACACCTGCCTCTCTGCAACCATCCCTCCATCTGCACCCTGGAGCGATCTGGCCATATGTCATGCAAGGGATGGATGCTCAGGTCCTCCGCACCACATCATGTCAACCTGGCTGTGTGCTCCGAGCCAGGCTGAGGGCGTGTTTGCAGCAACACACCTGGACACTGTGCTGTTTTGCCTTCAGTTTTATTGCTTTGCTTACACAGGCAGAGGCAGCCTAAGAGGGAAGTAAGAGTAAGAGTAAGAGGGAAGGTCTCTAGTCATGCATAGCTCAGTACAAACCAGGGGTGTGAAGCCCAGGCGTGATAAGGAATTGGACAAGACATGGCAAATAGAAATGCAAAAGCCAGAGTGGGGCTGGACAAAATATATCTCCTCGCAGGGGGCAACAGCCTCACTTAGGCAAGGGCTTGTTTCAGCCGTTACTGCTGTAATGGCCACTGATACAGAGACTGCAGGAGCTGTTGCTCTATAGCGGGTTGTCTTCGGTGATAAGCATCTTGTTGCTGTTGTGCTGGACAAGATGGAGCCTCTGCCCTGCTGTGCTCCTGCTCCAGCACCTTGGATTCAGGGAGCTGATGGCAAGCTGGGTCATGGCACGTTCCCCGGGGCTTGGGATCCCGATGGGGGCTTGCACCCCGCTGTGAGGGCAGCAGCTTCTGGGTCTTGCCAGAGTTGGGCTCATGCTGAGGGGCCTCGCAGACCTGTGTCTTGTTGTTTGGGTCTTTTCCTTGTGTCTCAGAGGGACAGTTCAGGTCCTGCTCTGCTGACTCCATCTCTGAGCTCTGATGGTGGTTTGAGCGCTGTCCTGGTGCCTCAGTTTCTTGGGGCTGCTGGTTTTCTGGGTCCTGTTTTGGTGCCTCAGTCTCTTCAGCCTTATGGGTATTTCTGTCCTGCTCTGGGGTTGTAGTGTCCAGGATCTCAACTCTCTTTGGATCCCCTTCTGGTGCTTCAGTCCCATGATCCTGATGGGTGTCCTGGTCTTGCTCTGGTGTCTCACCCTCCTGGGTTTGAAGGTTGTCCTGGTCCTGCTCTGGTGTCTCACCCTCCTCGGTTTGAAGGTTGTCCTGGTCCTGCTCTGGTGTCTCACCCTCCTGGGTTTGAAGGTTGTCCTGGTCCTGCTCTGGTGTCTCACCCTCCTGGGTTTGACGGGTGTCCTGGTCCTGCTTTGATGTCTCACCCTCCTGGGTTTGATGGTTGTCTGGGTCCTGTGTCTCAGTGTCCTGGACCTGATTGTTCACACCCTGCTCGGGGACCTGCTGGTTGTGGGAGACCCTCTCCGCTGTGCGCGGCCCTGGCAGCTGTTCCCCACTTGCCTTCTCTTGCGCTGTTGGCTCTTGACCATCTTCCAGTGCCTGGTGCTGCTGGAGCGGCTTGTAACAAGCCTTGGCCATGCGGAAAACCAGGCTGAGCAACTCGCTGAAGTCAACTCTGCAGTTGCTGTTATCATCCAGGAAGCACAGCACCTTCTTGACGGTTTTGGGGTCCTGGGGGTTCTGTAAAGAGGCAAATGGCATTGGCAAAACCCGTGAACCATTTGTACCATCTCTCTAGGAGCACTCGAGCAATCTCAGGGCAGAAATCCAGCCCCATGGCCCCCTTCTACTGTGGCTCGAGTTGCTCCCCACACCAAGCTCTACAAGCTGCTGGTGCTGGGAGAATGAACAGCCTGTCCTCTTCCCTGCAGATCCTGGGCTTTGAAGGCATCTGTGCCTTTCCCAGGGAGCCAGGTGTCCTGTACACCTGCACCGGAGTGCATGGCTTTACCCACCCCACCGCACTCCTGATCCCAGCCCTGCAGCCAGAAGGCACACCTGCAGCAAGCGCCAGCTGCGGGGCCGGATCCTCACCTCCATCGCGTCCGCGAACTCCTGCTCCATGAGCTGCCTCAGCTCCTCCCTGCTCAGGGGCCTGCAGTTGCCGTCGCTTCTGGCGCACATGTAGAAAGCAGCAACGATGCCATTGATGTTTTCCTGGAGCTGGGCCATCTCGCTGCAAAACTGAGTCAGCCTGCAAGAAAAACACAGACAAAAAGGGGCTTTTTTGTTTGTTTGTTTGCTTGGTTTTCCGATAAGTTACTCTTAAACAAAACAGCTGGACAGGCAGAGAGAGAAAGAAGAGCCAGAGAAGGGCACAGATAAAATGAAACTGTGTAAGGGAAGAGAAAGAAAGAGCAGGAAGGATCTCACAGGAAAACAAATCTGAAAAATGAAACTCGGCTGCAGAGCTGGCTGGGTGCAAGGACCAGCAGGTGATGGCTGGAGAGGTGAGGGACAGTGAGAGCCGAAAGGCTGGGAGCACACAGTAAGAGCGGAGAGAAAAAATCCCATTTGGCTTTCTCTGGAGCAGAGCAGAGCTGTGAATGGAAGTCATCTCTAATGAACTGCGGAATAGTGTCATTCCAGATCTCTTATTATTTTTTTTTCCTTTAGGAGAGCTCAGTAGTGGCAGCTCCAGGGACATCCTCACGGCCAGAAGCTCCTGCTTTCCTGCTGGTAGCAAAGTCAGACAGTGTAAAAAGTCTGCCCAGGCTTACCTGGGCGAGGAGCAGGAGCGCTGAGCTTCAGGAGCGCAGTCTGGAGCAGATCAGCTCGTGGCTGTCTTATATACAGTTCGGGATCACAGCCTGCACCTTCCAGAGGAGACTCCCCTTCAGCAGGGCAACCTGAAACATCTCTCACGCAATTACGTTGTCATGCCTCTGTCTTCATTTGTCTCTTTCTCATTACCTTCTGCTCTGATGCTTTTCTCTGGAGTTAAATGCATGATCTTTCCTAAGCTTGCCCCACCTGCAGACACACTTCAGAGGAATTTAACAGAAAAGGCTATTTTTACCACTGGAGAATTTAGTTGAAGTTGATGCCCGAGCAACGCCCGGGACTCTTTTGTCTGGCAAATGTGTTTTGTGAGGAGGAGATCGCCAGTGACTGACACGCAGAGGAGGAGGCCGCCCGGGAGTGCTTGCATGGTGAATAAAGAGAAAAGAAAACAAAGGAAAAGAAAAGAGGATATTGTGATGCCAAGATTAATGTGATTCCTTCCAGAAACTCCCTCTTCTGGTTCCCGACGGGGAGGTGAGCATCAAGAAAAGAAATCTTTTCAAACAGTGCCACCAAGTGGCACTTGGAGCAGGACAGAAGGGTGACATGGCGTGTCCCAGGGCCAGCGAGCAGCTGGGGACTGCGGGCATGGTGGGCTGCAATCACCCATTTACCGGAAGGGGAAACTGAGGCACATGGCAAGGAAGGCACTTAAACTCCTCGTGCTGTGTCCAGCACCAGTCCCCGCTGCAACCCTGTGTCCTGTCGTGAGGCCACCATATTGGTGCCCAGTGAGTTAACTGGGAGCCCCCCCCGTCGCTCCAAATGCAGTGCGATGTGAAAGTTGTTTCCTAAGCACTTTGAGTAAGACTTCTGGGTGTCCTCATTATAGCTTTCTAATTTTTAAAGTCCTTTTCTTGGCCAATACATGGTTAATAAGAAAGACTGGAAAAAAATTATATCAGAAATCCACGTAACTTTTAAAGTACAAGGTGTTTTGGGCACAGAAAATAAAAAAAAACCCCAGTTTTGTATTGAAAAAGCACTTTCAGGAAAATGCCACTTCATTCATGTGAAGCCCTTGCAGGTGTACTGGGAGGGGATAAATATGGGAGGCTGCAGGGTCGGGAGGGCTTTGTAGGCTGTCCTGTCCTTTGGTTGTGTGCTGAGTCCTCTTGAGCTCAGGGCTTCTTTTTCTCTGGCTGGTTCTGTCTGAAACTATGCCCTTTCTTTAAGCTGAAAGCTTTCTAATATACTGCAGTTTTAATCTCAGGTGCCATCAAGCAGCTCTTCTGTCAGCCCGAGCAGGCAGTGCCCAGGGAAGAGCTGTGATCTCCCTTTTATTTCTATCAATCTATCAACCTTTCTATCACGTCTGCATGGAAACACACCGCTTTCCTCTAGCATGTGGCATGTGTGCTGCTAACCTTCTCATTAAGCTGCAGTGAGGGTAGGGGGCAATTACTGGGGGCACCTTGGAGAGGCAGAAGCGTTCAGGGTGTTCTTGCTGAAGTTATTTCGAGTCAAACCACCCAGGCCCTGAGCAGGGTGGTTTCTTCTCTCGTAGACAACCGTAGGCAATAACAGGTTTATGTCGTACAGGATTTCATATGTGCTTTATGAAGGAGAAAAGGTTAGAGGGTCAACTGATACGTGAAGAAGTTAAAAGTGCTGCAGAACAGAAAAGCGAAAATCATCGCTTTTAGCAGAGCTTGCAATAAATCCTCTTGAATCCAGGGAGTGGAGGGCAGGTGCTTCTGAGACTTGTGCTAATGAAATCACATGGAATTTCAGTGGTGCTGCCTTGAGATCTGTGAAACAGAAGAGGAGGCTTTGCACAAGCTCAAGCCTGCTTTGCAATGATGCTGGGGGGTTTGAACAGGATTGGGATGGGGCTGGGAGGGGTTGCCCTCTGAAAAGGTCTGGCAAGAAGCTGATCTTCCTAGGAGCTTCTCTACAACAGAAAAGCAGCATTTGTGCTGTTCTTTAGCCTGAAAACTGCTCTTCCAGCAGAGCCAAATTGCTTAATAGAATTAGCTCGTGATGCCTTTGGCTGAGATAAAGCTCGAGCTCCAGGTTCTCTGTTTTTCACCCAATATCCAAAGGGGCTAGCAGCCTCCAAGGCCGTGCCCCATGTGATTAGAGATTCCTGGTCACCCCAAGACCTTCAAGCCGTGCTGGTGCTGTAAAGGCATCGTTAGCACCACAGCTGAAATTTTGGGGCAGGAGGGGCAGCATCTTGCTTTAGCATGATTGATCACTCCTTCCCTGTGATGCCACCCACACTTGAGAGAAGAATAAATACTTTGGGAGTCTGTGTTTGAAGCAGCTAAAATGCACGCTGGTTGGGGCTGGCTTTCCAAGGCAGATTTACCACGGAGACATGGAGGTAAGGCACTTGGTGTGGCAGAGGAGGGAACAAGTCTGCAGTGCTTTGTTTACTTGGCAAATTCACTCCACTAATCTTTGAGGTGTATTTGCTGAAGGACCTCTGTTTTCTGAGCTCACCTGTGCATTGGGGCACTGGGCAAACCAGCTGCTCTGGATAGGCAGTGTGTATTTAAGCTTAGGCTGCTGGTAAAATGCTCTCTGGTTGTTTTCTTTAAGCAGTTTGATCGCCTAATTTTGTCCACGTCTGTCCAGTCCACCTTTCTTTCTGTTTTCTTGGGCAAAAAGATATTCTAAGCATGTTGGTCTGTGCATTCACATGAGGGGCAGCTGGGCTTCCCTGGGCTGTGGGCTGCACAGCTGGGGCGGGTTTGGAGGAGTGATGTGCACCAGGGCTGGGTGAAGCTGGAGGTGACACCTGGCTCATGGCAGCACTGGGACTTTGGCATGGTCATGTGGAGCAAGATTTGGGTCAGATGTGCAGAAAAAAAAGAAAGGTGTGGAAAATGTAAGTGTCTATGGTTACAGAAGAGCTTTTAAATAATTTAGTAGCTGTTATTACCACCATTGCTGGAGTTCTACATAACTCCATTCCTGGAGTTCTACAACTTAGGTCATGCTTAAATTTCTCCTGCTGTATTTTAATGTGTAAAACTTCAGGTAAACCAACCTCACCTAAAATTCTTTTCTTTGAAAGTATAACTAGAAAACTGGTGCCTCCTCAGACAGCCCAGGGTTATTTTCCTCTCTTCTGCCTGAAGACTTTGTGGATCTGGAAAATTGCTCAACTCCTTGGTTAATGGGGAGGAAAGGAAGAAGCAGACGAAGGAGACATTGGGAGGGAAGGGGGCACAGAAAAAGCATTGCTGGCAGTCAGGGGTGTGTGGGGAGCGTGTGTCAGGCAGTAACGGCAGGGACTGGTGTTGAGCTGGTGTTGGGTGTTCGGACTTGGGGGTGTTTAAGGTCTGGGGCTCAAGGGGGTGGGAGCTAGGTCAGAGTGGCCAGGTTTCTTAACAAAAAATAAAGCAGGAAATTCCTGTTTATTCCTGCGTGGCTCTGATTATTCCTGCTCAGCGGGGAAGAGCAGAAGTGTAGGTTAGCGGTGATGAAGGAAGGAAAGTGCTGCACTGAAGGTTTAATGTAAGAAAGCATTTAAATATGGGTTTTGGAGAGCTGGAAGGCTTCGGGGCTTGAATCGATGTCGCTTGCTTTGGCAGATTAAAAGAAACAGCAAATGCCTGGTTAGTGCTTGCACTCTGTGCAGCCATGGGACCCAGAGGTTTTACCGTGGTTATTGCGTTCCTAACATGCCTCCTTTGCCTTTTCTTCCTGCTCTTTCCTTCTTTCTTTTGCCTGCTGAGAGCTGAGGGCACTTGACGCTGAGGTTCAGGCTTACCTCCCTTTTCTTGCCTTGTTCCGTACACGAAGCACGATTCCTAAACTTTCCCAGGGCTGGAGCCCATGATACAGAGAGTTTTATCGCTACGTCTATGTCATTATCAGGAATTAAGCTAATTGGAATAAAATGCTTTATTTTCCTATGCTGCCTAGGCATTTCAGCAAGTTATTTCTGTTGCAACCTTCTTTATTGCTAATTCATTGTGACATTAAGAAGTGTAATACATCAGCTTTTCTCTAATACGTGTTTCCACTTTTTTACATGTTAATGAGCATATTTAACATATTTCTTCAGAGATAATTGGATTCTAAGACTCCCTGTGGTAATGCACTGAAAGCCAGCTAGCAATGCCTTTAATATCTAAAAGACTCTTTCTGCATTTGAATAATCCCACAATTAAAATTAGGAATTAATCTCTTGGCTGAAACAAGGCTTTTGAGGATACTTTTCTTGTTTTGAGACAGTTTTCATACACACGTTAACTATACTTATGGAGAAGTTAATTAAACCCTTCCTTTGCATTTGTACCCCGGAACTCACAAAGGGGCACAGGTATGTCGGATTATCTTGTTCCTCTCACCCATTGATCCTCCTTGTGAAGGCAGGATTTTTCTGTGCTTCGTTTGCTCTTAACTGATCCAGCCGGCTGTTTTAATTCAAA